TGCGGCAAGTGTGGATTTGCTGAGTGGATGAGTCTGATCTCACCTGGTGAGGCACTTATGCTCCCACCAAACTTGCTGCCTTTGCTCAGAGCATCTGCCTGTACCCAGCACACACTAAAGCTGTGTGCACTTGTGGCCAGGCTTCAGGCACCACTTGCACCAGGCAGTGCAAGTGCATTCACTGAGAAAGTGTCACTGGAGTTCAACTGCTGCACTCGAGGAGCTGGACTATGTCAAAATCATGTCAAGATTGAGTTGCACTAACAGAAGCTGGGGACAGAGCTAGCTGAGCAGGAATGGGGTGCAGTGAGATTAACTGGACCCTAGGTGTCTGTGCTCTTCTGTGTTTAATTGGTTTCTTTATGACAGAGGGTAGTGTCTGCATGGCTGCTTCAATTTTTCAGTTTCAGGATGATTAGGAGGATTTGTTGTGGTTTGCTTCCTGCAGCCAGGGTGGGAGAAACAGGTGTACTGGGACAGGGGTGTGTTGCTGCATGGAAGCAACAGGAGTGTGCTTATGTTTGGTGTGGCGGGACATGGGGAGGAGCTGTGTCTGTGGTGTGTGAGTGGGGGATGTATGTATCTGTCCATCTCCAAGCTCAGAATGGCTTTGACAAGACCACCAAAGAGCCCAACTTGAACTGATAAAGGCATCTCAGTAGATTTGAGGAGGAAAAGGACTATTTAACAAGATTTGATATGATGTCCCAGATATTTTGGGCAAAGAAGGGTGGAAGAGCAGAACTACCTACTTCCTTGCTTATCGAAGTGTAGGTCTCATGAAAGTCTGCTACAGAAACAACCGACAGCTCAGCCCAGCTGGTTCATCCCCTGCGTTTCTCCTCCATTTATGACTGAAGATGACCCTGAACATAAGCAGGATGTTTAGTTTATCACCTCTCCTCTACTTCTCCTACATAAATTTCCCATCTGATATCTTGGTAGTCGACCTTCCACAGCAATCGCTGTGACACACGGAGCCACTGGAGAGCAGAACGTGGCCTTTGCCTTCTGTTTGTACTGAGCAAGATGCAGAAGCAGGATTACCAAGGAATGTGCTCATTCTTTTCTCAGCGGATGCCTCAGCTGCTAAAGCTAAACGGACACCGGCAGTACGCAGAGCAGGAGGAAAGCAAAGGGGGAGCAACAGTGCTGGGAAGCATTTTCCATATGGCTGCTCTTAAATAATTCCGTTCTTGCATCCTTAAGCATGGAGCAAGTGAGGCTGCAGTTGTGCTCGTGGGAAGAAAGGTCAGCGTGGCCTTTTGGTCTGCCCCCCAGCAGTGCAGTTTCATGCAGACAGCCGGGCACATGCCTCCTCTGTCTGCTCACACTTAGTGGTCACATCTGTGAGCCCTGCTGCATTGTCCAATTACATGGGGTCCTTTAAGCTCTCTGTCCCTTTTGGCAAAATAATATATGGAGAAGCATGCGTAAGCAGATGGTCAGCATGCAGGCAAGCTCTCTAATTAACATGAGCCAGGTCAAAACGTAGATTTGATTTCACTTTATTCTTGCTGCAAATAATTTTATCACAAAATAAACAACGTAGGATTCTATTTCTGTTTGCCAGTGTCTTTTTTGTGTTCTGTTGCCTCTGTCCCTTTTACTTTCTACTAGTCACTTGTGGAATTAAGAAGATTGTAAAATTTATCAGAGCAACAATATATTTAAGAAGAAATGTGTAAGCATGTGTGCAGCAATAAAATAGTATATTTCACTACATCTCTTCCTGCTGTGGCCTCTTTGTTTCCAACTAATGTCCGTGTCGTGTTGTTTCTGAATATGGGGTGGGTTCCTTCAATATTTTTCTTTCACCTTGCCCAGGGGCTGGCTCTGTACTGAGCTTCCAAGCAGTGCTTAGGATGTGATGCTGCTATCCTCCCCTGATGCTCCTTTCAGACAGTTCCTACCAGGACATGGGCAGAGAGCACTGGCTTGGTTTTGTTTACTTCTTTCTCCAAGGGTACTGGGATGATAACTTTTATCACAGAGTGCTGCTTTGAGTAGTCCCAGGGAGGTCTGTTGTCTGTCCATCTCTGCTTGTGCTTTGCTGCCTTTCTATTAAATCCAAGGATGGGGATTTCTCAGCTTGCTGGAAAAGTGCTTCTGGTGCTTAACTACTCAGACTCCTTCAGAGCACTTGAGTTGCCCCTGAATGAAGCATGTTTTTTCTCCGAACCTCAGGTGTGCTGGAGTGCCCAGGCATTTCCTCTCCTCTTGGAGGACTGTAGTGGAAATGCTAAGTCACAGCTTGAAGCAGTTATTGAGCACCTGGTGGGAAAGCAGGGCCAATCCAGGGGAGCTCAGGTGCATGCAATGCACTCCTTCCCAGACCTCATTTAAGGGCTGGCAGTGGAGACAAAGGTAGCTTGCTGGAGATCCCTGCCTACCTGAGGCCTTCCAAGGGTAACTAGGTTCTTTCTATGGTTTCTTTATCCACAGACTTTGCCACTTTGCTGCCATTGCTGTGCTTTCCATCGTGTTATAGCCTTACAAGGGTCTGGGTATTGCAGTCTTCTTCCCCTCCTGTATGTCTGAGTGGCTGTGGTAGTTTTGGTAGCAGATAGCAATGATTGTGCAGCCTGTTGACTTCAGAGATGAATTTGGTTCAGGGAATGAGGATCTGAGGCCATCCCTGTAGCTCCCTGCAGGAATGCAGTTATCCAGGGGAAGGGCAATAGCATTGGAATGACTAATGCTGCTGAAGGGAGGGACTGGGCTTGGGGAAGTTCAGACTCTAGTCAGGCTGTTGGGACTTGCAAGTTATGCTTCAAAGAACATCGCTGTACTGCAGGAGCTTGCAGTGAGACAGGCATTTCTGAGAGACTTGGGCTGTTGTGGTCAAATGTATGGCAGAGATGGCACCTTCCCATGTGGCAGCTCACAGGCGGTGTGCTGACGGACCCATCTGTTCGCAGTGACACAGAGTTGTTCTTGCTGCAGGGAGCCGGGTTTTGTCTGGGCTCAGTTCTTGGGGCTGCCTGTGTTGGCAGAACGGGTTTTGTTTCACCTTCTAAACTAAAACAGATTTGACAAAATGAATTTATTAAGATAAGAGAGGCCACGCTGGCAGTTTGTCATAGCTAAGGCCTGTTTTGAATCAAGACAATGTGTCTGCCTGCCTCGTGGGGTCAGGTTGGAAACGAGGTGGGCTACTGGGAATAGCTGGGTGAGGGTCTGCAGGGGCTGAGCAGCTGTGGGCTGTATGCTGGGTGGCATCAGCACTGGGGAAGGGGAACTTACGGTTAGCTTTGTGAGCTTGCATGTCTGCAGGGCACTTCAGGACACTAAAGAAAGCCTTGGAAGAGGATCAGTGCCATGTAGAGAGCTAGTCTGGGTCTTGAGGGTCTGGCTGCTCAGTTCCCAAAATAAGCTCAGAAAAACGATTGTGAGAGCTTTCCTCTCCTTCCTCCTGTTGCCAGCAGAACAAACTTGAGGGGAAAGAGTGGGACTGGAGAATGCCATCTGCTCCAGGCCTGCTCCCTCCTGATGACGGCTCCTGGGTGGTTTTCTGGCAAATGGTCCCAGCAGGGCTGTTTGCTGCCTGCTCCCTTGCTGGTATGGCAAGGCATGAGACTGTGCTTTGGCACAGTGCATGAGCAGGAGGGAGGTGAAGGAGTGCTGTGGCAGGGTCAGATGTATCGGTTTGTGGGCTCAGGGTGGTATTTTTGGTTTGGTTTTTGTTTTTAAAGAAAGCCAGGGGAATGTGGTGGAGCTTTCCTATGGAAGAAACTGTGCTGGTATGTGTTGTGCTGAGGTGATGTTAAAACCCTGGTAGGAAAACATCCCTTCCTCCTTATTCTTTTATCCTATTGTTTCTCTGCTACCCAGGGTCATCCCAATACCATTCGTGCGAGGCTGTGGCAGTGATGAATTGTGTGAGGCTGTGCAGCGACCTGCTCTAGAGGGAAGGCAACTAAATGCCTTAACTACCATTCCTTGAGATATGCTTTCAGAGATGAAGGCTGATCTTTCATATTAAGGCTAAGATGACATTATATCTCTCCCTTCTGCTCAGAAGGTTTTATTCTAACACATTCTTGGCACAGCATCTCAAGAACCACCAATACTTCTATGAATTTTATTAAGCTTGCTTCCATAATGGGAGTCAGCAATCTGCTCCCTCCAACTTATTCCACCCTACTCCTCCTTGGGTGTAAAACTGAACTATAACCAAAAGTTTTAAACAAGCTTGTTGGAGGCAAGTTCAGTCTCCCATTGAGGAGCTGGAAATGTCCAGGATGCTTTTTCTGTTGAGTTGCCTCTCATCGGGCTCAGTACATTCAAAGCCATTCAAAGCATGGGCTCTGTCCATCTCTTCCCAGGATGACTGTTCCTTCTGTCCCACTGCTGGAGGAGATGGCATTCCTTGTTTCCTGGTGTTCCGTGACATTTTCCAATCATATATGCAATTAACTAACAGTCTGCAGGTATTTCAAGAGGCCACAAGTGTTTTCTGTGCTGGCCATCTTACCTCCCCTCTGCACCCCAGACCAAGTAATTTCCTTTGTTTAGATCTCAGTGCTTTGTCACGCAACCTGTCTGAACTCTTCAAAGATCTCCTAGGAATTGTTTTTCATCTGAGTGCGTGGAGTACTTTCAGGCACTTAAGAGCTTCCCCTGCCTGCCCTGCTCTGTGCAGGTGGGAGTTGAGCCCTCTGTCTCTTCTTACATTGTGCTGGGGGCCAGGGAATGGCTCCTTGCTCGTGGACATGGATGTTGGGCTGAATAATTACATTCTAGAGAGGAGACAGCAGCTCAGGGCAGCGTGAAGCCTAAGCACTGGTTGGGGAAATAGGCACAGAGCCTCCAGCTTCCTTTGGATTTGATTTCAGGTTGGATATTGGGAAGAATTTCTCCTCAGAAAGAACGGTTGGGCATTGGCACAGGCTGCCCAGGGAGTGGTGGAGTCATCATCCCTAGAGGTGTTCAAGGACCATGGAGATGTGGCACTGAGGGACGTGATACTGGGCATGGTGGAGATGGGCTGACAGTTGGAATGGATGTTCTTAGAGGTCTTTTCCGAACTTAATGATTCTATGAGTCTATCACCTTCCAACAGCAAGGGCACCCAAATGCTCCAAACCTGGATTCAGTATCTCTCAGGTCTTTCTGCCTTTCCCTTCTCACTCTCCAGAAGGATGGTGATAGCAAATGATGCCCTCAAACACGCTCCATTCAGAAAACATAACTTTATTATTAGTTGCAATATACATTGTATTCCTTTAAGAATCCTAAACTTGTATATGGTTTCCCACTGAAAATACAAGTGTATGTATATATGCTTTTATATATGTATATATATATATATAAATGTATTTTATTGAACTGGGACACAACAAAACGAGAGAGACAAATTACTTGGAAAAATAAGTGTGATCTTCAAGGGTCTATGCTGGCAGTGTGCTAAGGTAAGTGGTACAAAAAGAACAGGCTAAATGGAAAGTGTGGTGGGCAGAGGGGGATGGTCTCCCGGTGCTACAGGTGGTGGCACGGATGGCAGCTGCACATTGCTATTGCTCGGTCACGGATGCCACCTCTTCTCCAAGGCAGACTGGTCTCTGCACAGCAACATTCGTAAGGCCGGCTGTGCTCCCTGCACATGGTACCTGCTGCTGGGAAATAGCTTAATTACATTTCCCTTGGCAGCAGCTCTGCTCGTTGCTAATCTGGTCAGTGAAGGAAGGGTTCCTCCAGGGCATGGAGAAACTGAACTGGGTCAATATAAAGTAGCTTATGTGCAGGGTAAGGGAGCAGCAGGTACATATTTGCTCGCTAACCTGATTTTCAATCACAGCTTCCCTTGGGCATCCAGTACTGCTGGACAGAATTCCCCAGATGCACATAACTGCCTTCCTTTCCTTTCTTCCAAGATGCAGATATGTCATGGGCGAGACATGTTCTGCAAGGCACTGACCACAGACCCTGGGGCAGGCAGTGGGCTCTGACCCTCCTGCTCCCTGGCAAAGTGCTTGTCAGTTCGGGACATAAAGAATGGGGGCATCGATCCATTCTTCCTGACTTCCTGGGGAAAAGTGCTTTCGAAAATCCCACCCTCGAGTCATCGTCTTGCTCTGACCCCTGCACCATCTGTCAGTGCTGCATCACTCCTGCACGTGGCTCCTGCTCCTGGGGAGCCTTGTTCCCACCATGGTGCTGCTGTGCCTTTCCCAGCAGCATCTGGCACGGAGGGACCTTGTTTGGGAAAATGAATTTGCAGCAAAGCAAGAGTGCAAGAGTCACTGCAGGTTTAGCGGGGGTGGATGGGAGCACCTGATTGCACAGGAATGGTGTTTTAATCACAAGTTGGCAGTGCTGGGAGAACTCAGCTGGTTCCTCCCTTTAAGGGCAGGAAAACACAAGTGGAAAAGTGCCTGCATTCACCTCTATAATTATAAAGAGCTTTCCTGACTTGGGCCGTAGGGATGATTGTGAGGATACAGCCTGCACCCATGCATCCTGCAAACCGGCGTGTTGATGGGTTCTGCCTGCTATTGCACTGAAGTCCCTTCCCTGGATCTCCAAGGGCAGGAGGGAGGGGTAAGACTCCCATGGTGGGCAGGATCCAGCCCAGGGCAGGGGCACCAGACCCCATAATGAGGTTTGTCCCCATGGGAAAGGCCCTGCGTCCTCATTTGCAGAAGCGGAGGGAGAGGGGCAGGTACAAGGCAGGAGGTGGGCAGGAGCTTGGCCACAATCTGGGGTCACGCTGTGGGTCTCCTGCTGGAGCAGTGGACCATGAAGATGCCCGCTGCTAATCCCCACCCACCAGATGCTCTGTGCTTCTCTATAGCAGTTTTTTCAGGACATTTTCCAACTGATGAAGGGAAACAACATGTTATGACTGTAAAGTTATGGTGAAAGGGCTGGATCCTGATAGGACAACATTATTCCTCGCCAAGAGAATGAACAATTAACCTTTTTTTTAGCCTCTCCTCCCATTTCTTCACCAGCTCCCAGCCACCTCTATATACATCATATATTATATTACTATATTCTCATATAACTCTGCTTTTTCAGTTTCAGTAGCGCAAATGATTAATTTCAAAAGGAAAAAAAAAAAAAAAGAGAAAAAAAAAAAAGAAAGAAGGGAAAAAAGCAGCCCCTACAACTATTTACAGAATAGTTTATCTTGCAGAGGCGATGGGGTTTGGCATTGGGAATAGCCTGGTTTGCAAATGTGCTGCGTGGGCTTGAGTCTACGCTCGTCCACTCCTCTGCCAGGGCTGGGAAAGGACCAGGTGGTGGGGACGGGGAATCGAAACTGCAAAGTGGAAGATACTGGCTTCTTTAACATACCAAAAAATTATTGCAGTATAAATACACCCCCGCCACCCCCGCAAAAGCAGAGAAGAGGAAGTGATGGAGGAAGCTCCGTGAGTGGGGGGAATTTCAGAAAAGTTACCCAACCTGGAAGGCTTTGGGGGCCGCTCCCACAGCTGTCAGTGCTTCCTCAGATTACGGCAAGAGTCATCTATGCCAGTGAGTAACACCCACCCTGTGCCTCTCCTCCCAACCCTTACACTGTGCATGGCAAAATATCCCACGAGTCCCTCCACGCTAGATCTTTTCCAGAGAGAATTCTTTTACAGAAAGCTTCTATTCCCAGAAAACCCCAGTAAAAGCTGCAGAAAGGATTGCTCTTAGGTCTGGCTGGTTTCTCCAGCTGCTGAAACCTTCTGGCCAACCCACGTCAGTATTTCTGTGAAGACGGAGGCGGTGACCTCAGGCAGCTCTTTGTGCAGTGCATGGTAGGCTTCCTCATACACCTGCAGACAGGGAGAGAGCAGGGATTAGCACTGAACAAACACCCTCATGGGCAGAGCAGCCTTCAGCCCCTCTTGGCAACACTCCTGGGTCCCATGCCTTCTCTGGTTTTTCTCCCAGGTGTGGTTGGACCAGAAGATCCTAGTGGTCTTTCCAACCCTAACGATTCTATGCGTGTCAGGGTATGACACAAAACGGATGCCATTGGCTCTGGCACACTCTGCTTCAAAAAGAAGCCTACCATAGCATCCCAGCTTTTGTGCTGATGGACCCTGCTCTGCTCATCCCAAGCACCCTGTTGCCCAGCATCAGGCATTCCTTCCTCCCTGAAGGGCTGGGAACCCGCTTGGTTTGCCAGGCACCAGCCCTGCTTCCCACATTGTGACCCTTGCAGTGAGTGGTGCTGAGGCCTCTGCTTGCAGGACAGCATCCTAAAAATGGAGAAAGCAAGCTGACCTTCAGCGTTTTGTCCTGGCTCTGCACTGTGTCCATCAGTAAATAGGAGCCTTTGATATCACAGAGCTTGTCAGAAGAGCCATGCAGCACCAGGATGGGCAAAGTCAGCTTGGGCAGAGCTCGCTCGATTCTGGTAATGGCATTCATCAGCTGGATGACAAAGGAGACCTTCATGCCACCGTGGTAGACCAGGGGGTCGGATGTGTAGGACTCCATCTGGCAAGGAGAGAGGGGTGATTTCAGGTTAGCAATATTTCATGCAGAAAGGGCAGAGCAGGTGGTGAAGAGGCTCTTCCCTCAGCCTGCACACTTGTTTCCTGCTCAATCAAGACTTCCTGCCATCAGAGTCAGGGCCAACATCTTCACTGTGGCTGCCAGCGAATAATGGCTGCCCATTTCTTCCTAACTAACTGTGAGGAAGAAATTCCGCACTCAGATGGCAGTGAGGCAGTGGCACAGATGCCCAGAGCTGGGGGTGCCCCATCCCGGGAGGTGATTAAGGCCAGGCTGGATGGGGCCCTGGGCAGCCTGAGCTGGTGGGGGGCAACCAGCCCACAGTTTGGAATGAGATGGTCTTTAAGGTCCCCTCCAACCTGAGCCGTTCTATGACCCAGGCCTGCAGGCAGCTGACAAGCCTGCTGCACAGCACTCATACACCAGTGCTCTGCTCTGGGTGCAGACGACACAGACGTAAGGATGGGATTAGGGATTAGGCAAAAGAAAAAGTCAACAACTCGCTCAGCCAGACTGTGAGAGGCTAAAAATACACCAGAGCTGGTGCAGAAAGTTGCTAGGAAGGAGTAGTTACTGCAGCAGGCAAATCTACAGTAAATATTTGTATACTGTACGTGGAGACGGCCCACACAGCCACTGCCATCTCAATATTTGCCAGAATGCTTTGATTACGGGTTGGTCTCTGGCACAGCCTCCCAGTTTCTCCCAGCCCTGGCAGATGTTTATAGAAACAATGGTTATTTATAGGTTAGCCAAAACCAGCCTTCTTCTCTCCTTGCAGACACAGAGGTCTGTTCAAGTTCTGCTTTGCTGGAAGGTGAGGTCACTGTGAGGTTACTGGGGAGGGAGGAGGACACAACGTGGTGGGGCTTTCCCAGCTGTGGGCATTCATTCTCTAGAGATGTGGAGCTGATTTCCTTTCTTGGCACCTCAGATGCGTTGGGGCACAAAGCACTGCAAACGGAGCTGGCAGGGAGGCACACGGTGCACAGAGGTCTTTCCCCACTGCCTTCTTGTTTCATTGAATTCCATCAGCATTTTCATATTCATAGAATCATTAAGGTTGGAAAAGACCTCTAAGATCATCCAGTCCAATTGTCCACCTGCCATCAATACTGCCCACTAAACCACGTCCCTGTGTCCCTTGTTTTGAGCAAACCCATTGGGTTGCACTCAGCTGAACCCGCACCTATGTTAGTGCTGCACTAAGGCAGCACAGCCTTGAGATGTTTTATTATTTATTCCATTTTTAATTGAAGTCCTTGAGGGAGAGGCAGAATTGTGAGGGGTGGGCGGGTGGACTGACAGAAGTTCCCTTCCCATGGAGTAAAATAATGTTGATCAATTCATGTGCATTATGCATCCCCAGTGCCATACATGCTAGGGGAGTGAAGAAACCTATTAGGTTTCTTTCTCTTACTTTATTCCTAAAGAACAGGGAATTTTTTTAGCTACTGAGCTTTCAACAAATGTTTTTGTATAGATGATGGAAGGGGGAAAAAATAATAACTTAATCCCAACCCAAATCCATCAGCAGTGAGTAGGAGGATCCTACTGCTGATGAACGAACAAAATCCTTGTCAGAAAGTAAATTCTCAGAGGACGGTGTGAGTGCAAAGCAGAAGCTTTGTCCACAGCTTTAAGCTAATCAACAAAAAATTAATAATTAAAAAGGAAAAAAATAAAAGATTTAGGAGCTTGCTGTTGCAGCGAAGGTGATTTACTCATTCTGTTTCATTTTGAGACTTTTATGGGTTATGCAGCTTGGAAGCAGAAGTGGGGTTTTGAGGTTGCACCTTGCTATCTTTTGTGTCTCCTGCATTTGATATTGCACACAGATCAAAGAACATCTCCATGCCATCCTGCATCACAGTGCCTACACCCTGAGGACGGCCTGCTGGGAACACAGCCTCATCAGGAAATTCTTGGATGACATCCCAAAAACATTTCCAGAGAACGAAAAGTTGGCCGGGCAGAAGAATATGTTTAACATATAAATAATGGATGTTTCCAGCACATTGTGTGCTTTGAGGCCGTGCAACCCGAGTCCAAAGGGAGGGTGGAGTGTGTGCCAGCGGCAGCCAGAAGACGAGATGCTGTGATGCCTTTGGTGAGTGCACTGCAGCCCACTGCTGCTATGCCAGAGGCAAGTTTGTGTGCAGGTGGGCATGCAGCAGAGCAGGGAGGAGTGGCAGTCTTCTTCTGAGGACCACTCCACTGTGAGCATGTGCTGCCAAAGCAGACCTGTTCTCATGTGTTGTGTTTCCTGCACGGAAAGGGAAAGGGCAGAGGAAAAACAACACACACAGGAAGCTCCTGAGACTTGGAGCATCACACAGCAGTGGGAGCAGCGGCAAATATTTGGGTGGGAGAAAAAACACAGGATAGCATTTGTTACAAATTGTTCCCATGGAATAAGAAAATATTTGGACAATATTGTGTGGTAAATTAAGGAAGTTCACTGATACTTTTCTAAATGTGTTATGACCGGGTTGTCTCCCATCAGCACTTTTCTCTTGTCATGCTCTGTAGTGCAGCAATTTCCAGCAGAAAATCCAGCTGTTGGAAGCAGGTGTGCTTAAAATTGCCTTCCTTAAAGAGCAGCTGTGACACACAGTGCCACGTAATGACTTTGAGCCAGGCAGAGAGCCACATGTTCCAGCCACGCTCACTGCTCCAGGATGGGAACTCCTTTGAATTCCTGGGCCAGAACCATGGAAACCCGGTGGCTCTTCATTAGGACAAGAGGGTACAGCCTCAAGTTGTGCCAGGAAATATTCAGGTTGAGTATTAGGAAGAATATATTCTCCAAAAAGTTGGTAATGCGCTGGCACAGGCTGCCCAGAGAGTGGTGGAGCCTGGAGACCAGAACCATGTAGATGTGGCACTGAGGGATGTGGTTGGAGGGCAATAGTGGTGATAGTTGGACTAGATGGTCACAGAGGACTTTTCCAACCTTCATGATTCTGTGATTCTATTCCATAAGACTGCTTTTCTTTGCAGTTTCCTAATGGGTGAGTCAAAGGGAGGAATGTGCATTGCATCAGCTGACATCGTCTTTGCTCCTGATCCTTTCAGCTTCAATTCTAGCACTGCATGAACAGCAGGAGAAGCGATCGCATTTGTCAATGAACAATTTGCTATGACAGTGAGCTCTCCTGCTTTTGTGACATTCTTGGGTGCTTTGTTTTCCATTTAAACTTTCTGAAATACACCAAGTTCTGGGTCATCCCCTCTCTGGACCAAGCAACTTCACTCACCTGTAGACCGAGCCTCCCTGCTTGCTCTCCTCCCTCCACACCAAAAGAAAAAGGAAAGAGAATTGTCATGTATTGTGGCAGCAGTTGCAAGGACACCTGGCTGTGCCAATGGTGGCATGAATGGGCTGCAATGGTTATTGCTAGGAGGGGGTATGAATGGGAGAAGAGTCTCGAGCTATGGTGACACTGAGAGAAGTTGATCCTGGAACCACTCCATTCACATTGGCAGTGGAGCTGGAATTAGGTTGTTACAATGGCTGCTTCAATTGGAGCTCACTTCAGTATTATTCCCAGGCACAGAAAGAATACATGATTTGTTCAGAAAGGCTGTGACAGAGCCCGAGTGCAATCCAGGAGACCTTGTAGCAAGGTCTTGGGGGCAGGCGTGCTTTTTTCATCTGTCTGAATGCATTCAGCACAATGCCATCCTGGTGTGTAAGCAGGGATACCAACCTCTGGCACTGGAGTTTTGCACGGCAAAGAGCAGGTTTGGAAATGCAGCCTTCAGTAATGTTTGCAACCTGCGTGAGCTGGTTGTGAAAAGAGGTGGTGGTGCAGAAGGGACACCCAGAGCAGTCATGGGTGCAGGAGGTATGCAGGGACTGGGGGCTGCTTTCCCATGGTGAGCCACATATTCTGCTCTGTGCAAAATGGCATGGATCTAGCCCTAGTGATTTAGAAAAATGCCTTTCTTTCTTTCTTTCTTTTTTTTTTTTTTAATTATTTTTAACAAAAAAGAAAGGACTGCAAAAGGATACTGACCATGCAGTAACTTTAAGTGGCATTAAGGTTCTCACCTCCTTCTTGTTCCGGGAAATTGCATTTGGATCTATTGATCCCAGCGACAAGTTTGGAAGCACGAGGTTGAGTACTTTTGCTGCAAAAACCTGTGGGAGAGGAAAGCAAGTAGTTAAGGAGCTGGTCAGGGCAAGAGAGATATAGAGGACCTAATCCTAAGCTGGTGGGAATCAGCACTGAAGTTAAACAGTTGAGGAATGTCAGCTGACACAGGAGAGAGATCTGTCCTATATTTAAAACATTTCTCTTGAAGTGAGTGTTTAAACTGCTCCTGGGATTGGGTGGGTGTGCAGGTCTGACATGTGTCAGCTCTCAGTCCACCACACTGCAGCTTCATCACCCCTTCCGTTTTTCTCACTCTCAAAGAGGCATCAGTGAGGCACCTTGATAAGAAAAAGCTGTTTTCATTCCCCATGGAGCTATTTTTTTCTGTTTCTTTTTTTTTTTTTTTTCTCACTGCCCTGTCCTGCTGCCCCAGCTCTGATTTCAGGCTGTGGTGTGCACTCAATGCCATTTACAGGAGTTTCCCAGGCTGCACTCTTTCTGATAAGCAGATCCTCAGGGGAACCTGCAAATAAACACCAACAAAATGTGCATGCGTTGGCTGAGGAATCTATTGCTCACTTGTCTCCTGGGAAGGAAACACAAAAGCATTCAGCAGCCCAGGCCTGAAACTGCTGGCAGATGAAAGGGTAGCATCTTTCATCTGAATACCACTACAAGTACGTTGGTACCACGCTTCTGCTCTGATCTTTGGAATGTGTCTTTAATTAAGTGATCACCACTTGAGTCAGAAACTGTGCCATTAGTGTATGTTGCTCTATGTTACAGCCCCTCTGTGCCCTCAGCCAATACCTGCTGGTGAGCTGTCACCTATGTTCCCTGTTTCTGCTCAGATTTAATCACTACTGAAGCACTCTGACATTTCGGATCGCAGATGATACATGGCAGAGTAATTATGGTATTAGAGGAATAACACAAGGTTGCAGTCAAAGTCATCCAACGTGACAAGCAGTAAAGACTCATAGCAGATCTGAGCACCTGTGCTTTGGGCTGGCTTTGACTATAACAGGTTTCTGGGAACTGTTAGGTCAGGGCCTGAACCAGTGATTGAGCACCTGGTGAAGGAGTGTGGCCAGCCCTGGGAGCACAGGTGGAAGCAATTGATCTGTGTGATTGGAAGGGGTGGATTCTGGGTACACTGCTTCCTCACCTCACTTAAAGGCTGGCAGCCACAAGGGAAACACCTTTACTTGGGGGTCATCTCCCTGATAGTGTGCCCTGATCCTTGGAAAGGGGTAAGTGGTTTCTTTATTATTGAGTTGTGACCTCTATTTTTCTTGGGTTTGGAGTATCTATATCTGCTGCTGCCTGTTCTTTCACAGATGTCATTGTTCCTTAGAATCATTAAGGCTGGAGAAGGCTGTTAAGATCATTAAGTCCAACCATCAATTCATCCCCACCATGCCCTCTAAACCGTGTTAAAATGGCACTGTGCGAATAAAAGTAACCTCTGCTGAGCTGTCTGGAGCTGACCCATTAAAAATATATCCGCACAGGTGCAAGTACAATGAGCAAGAATGAGGGTTTCTCTTGTGTTAATGCGATGTGATGATTTGAGGAATTCATCTGAATGAATTCTAGCAAGGACTTTGTGCTGACAGTGCTGCAGCGTTTTGCTTCTCTAAGCCACTTACAGTGTCCCAGATATACATAAAGTAACTGCGGATCCTTAGCTAAGGTATTTAATTTGGAAATGCAATTATTGCAGGCTTTCTTTGCAGTCTATGGAGGCTAAGAAAAACAACCTCAGGACCTGTCTGAGATCTGAATAGTGGTTTGGATGTTTCTGCCTCTGAACGTTACTGTATCAACCTTAGGCAATTAGGCTGCCCTAAAATTGGAGGCTGACTTTAAGTGTTAGGGTGAGTTCTGTGCCTAATGATCGCTAAGTGAAGAGGAAAACCTTGGCATGAGGGGTTAGCTGATGCTCTCTCAAGATCTGCTTAAAATATCAGTCACAAAATCCAGGTGTTGTTATTAAGGCCATAGATAACTAGGCCTAGAGCACAGAAAATAGAGGGGAGGGCTTTCCTTACTTTTAAGTTCAGCTTTAGGGTACAGTAAATTGATGTACTCTTACATTACGGAAGTAATATGTTTGGTGGTGATGAGCTGCACACTTGTCAGATTCAGTGTGACCATGTATGTGTTCTAATGATACGTGCTTATCTCCACAGCCTACAGATGACCTCTGTGACGTGCTTTGGAAAATTCCTGGAGCTTCTGCACGTATCTGGAGTTTTGCCAAACTGCTATAGAAATACAGCTGGATCTGGTCCCAAGCACTTCCAGCCCAGGTGAGTGGTGTCAATGCGGTTGTTTCTGATGTTCAGCTGCGTAAGGGAAACCCTGGGCTCTGTAGATAGCATGTCAGATATGCCCATGTATATGTATTTCCTGTGTGCACAGGAACTCTTATTTATGCACAGGCAGAACCTTTTAGTATAAAAGTCTCATTGGGAAAGGACTCTGACTTCTGGAGGGTCTTCAGATCTGCAGGTGGTACACGGTCCATATTTGGATTCGTAGCATCATTAAGGTTGGAAAAGATCTCTAAGATCACCAAGTCCAACTGTCAGCCCATCCCCACCGTGCCCATAACCACATCCCTCAGTGCCACATCTCCACAGTTCTCAAACACTTCCAGGCACGGTGACTCCAGCACTCCCTGGGCAGCAGTGCCAGTGCATCACTGCTCTAAGAAGAAACTGTTCCTAACATCCAACCTGAACCTCCCCTGGCACAACTTAAGGCTGTTATCTCTTGTCCTTTGAATCAAGGTTACATCCAGTGGAAAACTCAAGTTTTTATAATCAAAGAGACAAAAGGTTCCCCTGAGCCTTCAATGATTATGAGCAATGTGATGCAACCTGTGACATGCTGGACTTTAATTAAAAGCCATACTATTGAAGGGCTGGCTGTGTTTGATATATGAAGGCTTTTGTCCCTGTTGGTTCAAAGTGGCAACTGTTGGTTCTTGAGATAACTGCTCCCAAATGACCAAGAGTGCAATGCTGGGAATATTGGCTAGGCTGAGGATGATGCTTTAGGAGCATCAGTTATTTGAGCTGCTCAGTGCAGGTGTGTGAAATTCTAACGCTGTTCAGATCTCACATCTGTCAGAATCATCTTGGGATAAGATTGAAATAGAGTGCTAAACATTGCCTCTTGACTGGAAGTGCAACTCAAAGCTGACTTCACAGGTTTTGCATTGGTTTAACTGCATGGATGCTTTGTGGTGTAGACATGTTTCTTCTGAACAAAATAATCTCTCTCCCCACACACCTCTATGTGGTTACTCCTCTTTCAAGATCTCTTCTTGACCAACTGCTTGAGTGAATGCTTTCTAGTTCAGTTCACCAACAAGTGAGCTGGATTGTCAAACAGGTGATGTGTGAGCTGCATATGCTAGCCAGGCTTGTTTTGCTGAGCAGAAAAATCTCTGGAAGAAAAACTGATAAGCTACTGGTATCAGGCTGAGAGCAATGGGTACAGGGATGCCAGGGAGATGGGATATCAGGAAAATGAGATGGTATATGATCAAGGATATGCCAGGTATGCTGTTTTCATACCTCAGCAAGAGCCAAATGGAAAACTCAAAGCGAAGAGCCATTCTTGTGTACTGATTCTGTAAGGCATATGCTGGGGGTAGGGATTATTATTTCCTATGAGATTGTGCAGCCCGCTCTATTTCACAGCATTCAGCAGCAGAAATTCAGCGGGACACACTTTCTTATTCTCATGCTGCTCTTTGTCAGCACATGTGATTTCTGTCCCTTTGCATCCTTTGAAATTCAGAAGGCTCAGAGCCAAGTTTGGTCCAGAGAGAGCAGCAGGATCCTGCTCTCCTCACTGGGTTTGAAACAAGTAGGTAGGTGTTTCTACCAGGAGTCACAGGGCACTGGATGAATTGTGTCACTGCTTTGAGCTCTCACTTGTGTAGCCGAGGTAAATTGTTGCTCAGCAGGAAATTGCCCCAGCAATGGGCTGAATGCAGTGGACCTTGGGAAATGGCTCATGGCCTGGAAGTCGCACCGGTTCCAGGGGAAAACCAAAGCCTTTGTGCCTCAGAGGCACTGGCACCAATGCTGGGTCCTTTGGCTCTGAGAAGGGAAAAGCACACAAGTGTTTCCAGCTCAACTTCTTGGGAAGTGGCAGCTTTTGCAGGAATATTCTGCTTGCTTTCACTCCTTCCTCTTGCAAATATCTTTCCAACTCCAGGAATGACTTTGAATACATTTGACAGAGCAGAAATATTTCAGAAATAATTACATTTTTACCAGTTTTGAGAAGCAGCAATAGATCTGAGGGAGAAGGGAATGTGCTGTGAACTTTTATGTGCTTGAGATGCTCCCTAAGAATGTGACCCCATAAACAACTTTGCAATGCTTCAGTTAGAGATTAGGATTTCCTGAACTGAAATTTAACCACTATCTGCTACTGACCTGCAAGAAACCGAACTGCAATAATACTAGTTTCCATAGAGCTGGATAGGCCCTATTTCAGAAAGGATTTGGCATCTAGCAAACTGAATAGAAGGCTTTTCTTCTTCTTAGAGCTGTATTTTCCACCTGTGGGGAGTCGCTCATGAGGAAAACACTGACTGGCATCCAGGTGGTGCAGCTCTCAGCAGGGTTTGGCATTTTAAGGCTGGAGGTCTCAACACATTTCCTTCTATGGAAAAGCGAGATGATTAAAAGCCACCCTTGTTGGGGCTTGTATTCTTCTTTTGTGGGGTCAGTTGGTGGGTTACGTACAGCAAAAGGTGTGACAGGATTATGCTGAAAGCTGAGGCAAAATGTTTCCTTTTTCTCAGGAGAAAAAAAAGAGGAGAAATAGTTCAGAAGTAGATTAAAATGAGAAGCTGGCCCTAGGAAGAGTCTAAGGAGAAAGGTTAAAGGGATGAGGTCTGTGGGAATGAGTTGTTCTCTCATTACTGCTGCCTTAGCTGGTCCTTCCCTTTGCTTACAGTTTCTTTTTAGAGTTGTTTATTCTTTTAAGCATCCAGAAAGGAGGGGGCAGCTGAGGGTTGGCTGCCTCCCTGGGGAAGGGCAGAGCAGGCAGTGCAAACTGGGGTCAGAAATAACCCAGGATAGGAGATGTGGACTCGAGGAGGTGAAGCCTAAATGCTAACAGAAGGAGATGCTGCACAAGGACCAGCAGTGGTACCAAGCCAAAATGCTGCTGTTGATGCTCTAGCTGGAAGCCATTCAGGCTCATGGATTCCTGGGACTCAAGAGCTCTAGTTTTGTTTAGAAATCGATCATCCCCCAAATGTCAAAAATAACCCCAGCCTGACATCGCCAGCAGCCTGTGCTGAACTGTACCAGACTTTGTATGAGTCAGGGAGAAAACCGAGAGGAAGGGGAAGGCCGGTGCTGTGTGGGTTGCTGCGGGGTGTGTGATGACGGCACAGCCTGCTGCCACCTCCTGTAGTGCATTGCACTCTGCCTTCCCTTTAAATAAGCTTTTCTGGATGAGTTCAGGATTTGCTTCCCCTCCAAATAGTGGGTGCAGCTGTGAGAGAAGCGCTCCAAAGCAGTGTACTGATTGACATTCAGGTGCTATCTAAGAGGGTTTGATGTTCTCATAACTTCATTTGAGTTGGAAAGGCCCCTTAAAGGCCATCAGTCCAACCCCCCTTCAATGAACAGGGACACCCACAGCTCCATCAGATGCTCAGAGCGCCTCCAGCCTGACCTCGGCTGTCTCCAGAGATGGGGCACCCACCACCTCTCTGTGCAGCCTGTGCCAGTGCCTTACTGTAAAGGAAAAAAAAAAGTCTACCCCATATCCAGTCTAAATCCCCCCCACTTTTAGTTTGTAACCATTTTCCCTTGTCCTAACGGGAGGAGGCTGGGAATCTCAACTCCAAAGGTTTTGTTCAGTGGAGGAGATGACTGGGTGCACTGGGGGTTGGCTCTTACCTTGATGGGGGTGGCAACTTCTGGGCTAGCAACCACCAGAGGAGAGATTAGCAGCATGCCTGAAAAGTCACTGGGTCTCTCGCTGGCTGTCAGAATGGAGATGGCTCCCCCCTGCAATGCAAAATAACACAGCTTAATGCAGATCACAACCTCTCACTTACATAGTAATCCTGTTACTGGAAGGGTTTAGTTCAAAAAAAAAAAAAAGCAAACAATTTCTGCCGAACTACCCAGTGTGCAGAAATCCTCACTCATTACTGGGAGTTAAATACTCTTCTTGTCCACATCACCAACCCCACCAGCCCATCCTGACTCCATGCACCCTACGCATCGCTTTGAGCCAAATGTGACCTGGCTCAGCCTGAAGACAGAAGGAGGGCTGGGGGATGCAGGCATTTGGCTGGCTTGCTGGGGGAAGTTTGCAGAGGATTAGTTGCCAAGGGAAATCTTTGGTGACCTTCCACTCTGCCAGAGAAGCAAGGGCTCGTTAAATGGAGCAGCAGTGAGAAGCATCTGAAAGACCTGGCTGGGAAATTAGCTCCTTGTTACAGCGCCTTTGGAGCGGGGCGAGCACTTCAGAGCATGCCATGCGTTCTTATGCAAGAACAATCGTTTATCTGAGCATGGGCTGAATCCCCAAGCACTTATTCATTTTTCTCTCCTCCGGGAAGGCAGGGGGAGAAGATCAATGACATCAATGGGAATATGCTCGCTTGAATAAAGGGATTTGGCCCGTGCTGTCAGAACCAGACTTCAGATCTGTTCACCAAATCATTGCCTTTGTTTTGGCGGCCCTAATCCTTGGTACGCTTCCCTGTAAGGTTGTTTAACAGAATGAGGCTATGCAGTGCTTTCCTGCTTCATCCCCTAGCTGCTCACAAAGCTCTGAAGGGCTTACTCTCCTGGTTACTGGGTAAAATGAAAGGAGAAGCCTGATGCTGCAGAGGGGTGGTAGGATTTATTGAGTTCTCAGTGTGATTGAACCGTCCTACTAAAAGACAGATCCACTGTTGCAAATGGGCACTAAATAGGGCCATGATCCAGCTAGAGAAGTTAAGGGCTAGCTATTACTGGAGGCAGATCTTGTGCAGTAAAGCATGCTGACAAATTGATTGTGCCCTGCAAGGAGGGGAGGGGATGATGCTTACCATGGAGTGCCCCAGGATGAGGATGGGCAGCCCTGGATGATCCTTTTTCATGAGATCAATGTGCTGCAAGCTGTCCCTGATGAAGATGTGGAAATCTGAGACAACCATCCGATCCCCCTCGCTCTGCCCATGGCCAACTGTAGGAGAAAAGGAAAACATGCATCTAAGTGATCTGAAGTGGTTGCAGTCAAGAAAAGCTTTATCGAAACATGCCTACTGAGCTGTTACTGTCCTCCTCCCAGTCTTTTAGAGGTTGTGGAGCATCCTCCTTGGAAATCGTCAAAGGATGCCTCGATGTGGACCTGGACGCCCGACTCTGGGCCTCCCTGAGGTTGGAGCACATGGACCCAGAGCTCCCTGACAACATCAGCCAATCACCGTAGAGCAAAAACTACTGCGTGAGCATTGCCAAGAAATGGAAAAAAACCTCTGAACACTGGGTACAGTCACTATAAACTTAACAGACCTTGGATATAGACTGTTCCAGTGCGTGGGTGTGCATGAGCTTTGCAGAGTCCTCAGTGCTGCTTTGGAGCAGGAGGTGAGCTGGAAGCCTTCCCGTTCTGAGGGGCATTCAGCAGAGGCCAAGGCCTCCAAGGGGAGGCAGCAGCCTGTAGTGGGGATACATCAGGTGGCATGCTCCTTCTAAATGAGTGCTCATGCAAACTGTGCTGCACCTGGGTGCTGCTAGCTAGTTCTGTATCTGGGAATTATCTCATCTAATCAAAGGGAAAGGAGTGACAAAAATGGGAGATGAAGAGTTGCCATGGAAACAGTGGTATCCCTGGCAGAGGTGGACTCAGCAGATCCACGAGCACAATTCCAGGCAGTTCTGAACTCACAAAGGCTTGAAATTAGTCACAGAATCACCAAGATTGGAAAAGACCTCCAAGATTGTCTAGTCCAACTGTCCTCCTACCACCAGTGTTTCCCCATTAAACCACACCCCTTATAGAATCACGGAATCCACTTTGGGGAAGCACTTTGCATGTGTACTGCACTGAACATTAGACAGATAGACTATCAGGAATAGAATTCTTCCTTAAAAGCAGTTCTCTGTTTCTATTCCATGCACATTGCTAAGGAAAACTGTAAAGGGGGAAATGCTATGCAAACCACTTCCATGTTGATGGTGTGCAGGGAGTGCCAAACAGCATCTCCTCCTGTGAGCCTCCCTGGGGCTCCTCTGGTGGGACCAGACTGCAGGGAGAGATTCAAAGGCGTGAAGGGCAATGGCTTGTCAAAGCCCAGCATCAAAGAAAGCCTGAACTCCAGTTTTTCTTATTTCCTTGTTTCTGAGTGGTCTCCATGGGTCTCAAGGCAGTGAGTATGGCAATCAGCCATGACGTCTGCCTGACCAACTCAGAGATGTCATCCTGGTCAATCACAAATAATATATTGTTGGTGCTTCTTTCTATGCACACACTGCAGTTTCTGCCAAAATACGACACTGTAAGCATCCCCCATGGATCAGTGATCAGAAACAAATCAAGGAGCCAATTAAAATAAGAACTGAAATGGTCTACAGAAGTGAAGCCATGTGTGGGGCTAGTGGATTTATTTACCTTTTTCTCAACATCTGTGTACTTTCAGTCATCTCGCTCTATGGAGCTCAGATGTGTCTTCTGCTCAATATTTGAACTGCAGATTTAACAGGCTGATAGGAGTTGAGCAGTCCAGAGAGAGAGAGAGGAACCTGTTCTCTTAGCAGAGCTCTGCACTTCCACTTCTTTTTTCTCTGGTGCACTTGCTTCTTGTATCTCTTTCCGTGCAGTCTGTGCAAGACAGCTGAGCAAGCAGAAATAGCAATATCCCCGTGACCCAGGTCTGTATATGGGCTGTGAGTCTGTCTGGGGGCTGTGAGGCTTTGCCCTATTTTTGGGTAGAGAGAGGCAGGTCTGGAAGGCCTCCCTGGTTGTTCGTCCTACTACAAAACAACGATACTGCCCCTAACAGAGAGGTATCTATGTATTTCTTGGCTCAGGAAGCCAAGAAATGCCTGTGCAGCAGCACACCACTGGATTTCTCCAGGTCTGTGGTAATTTTATTGATCACTTAATGAATCTGTGCTTTTAGCTACTAAACTACTGTCCCTCTCTCATGGCACAGCAGTGCTTGGGGAGTAGTTTGTTTGCATGTGTGGTATAAGAAGATCATGCAAATCTTTGCCCCAGTACTTTGCTCCAGTACTGCCAGATGGCAGACTTCCTTCCAGGAAACCAAACTCCTTCCACCAGAGAATGAATTTATTGAAAGTTTGAATCTCCCAGCTGAGAAGGCTTCAGGGAAAGGAGTTAAGATCTCTTCTGTTAAATGAAAGCCACGTGCACAACCGAACATCAACAAAGTCATGGGTATTGACCTGTTTTTCTCTCATCTTTTGCCTCTGGAGCTATTAAGAGTGAAAGATCATTCGTTCTTGATGTGAAGCTATCTGCTTTGAGTTTTGCTTGGAAAGAACTGATGTAGCAATCCCACAGCACCTGTGGGAGGATACTTGGTGCAAGAGGAGAGGACTGGCCTGGGCACAGGAAGCAACCAGGGCTGCCCAAACCCATGTGAGACAGCAGCCACGAGTTCCCACTGCATCTCTCCTCTTGGGGCCACTGGTTTCAACAAGACAATGCCTTTGCCATGAAGCTTCTTGACATGCACATCTATAAAGAGCTGAGATTACCCATGCACATCTTTCATTAGCTGTTAGTAGCTCTCACAGCTATCTGGCTTCACCACCATCTTGTGCGTTTCATATGCATGCAGTGGCTTAGTTATCAACTATTTCAGGTTCTAGGTACTAAGATGTGAGCATTCTTTACTAGATGCAAGCCTTTAAAAAGAGAATGTACAACTTTTTTTTTTTTTTTCCAATTGCCATCTAGGATTAAAATGCCTGAGCCTCCATTTGCAACTGAATGCATCGCTGCTAAATAAGAGACATTGCTGAAACAAAGCCTGAATAAAGGCTGCAGAGATCTGGCCCAATATGCACAAACTATTTTATGCATGAGTTTATTCAGATTGCAGCTCTAACACTGTAGGGGCATGAACAGTGACTTGTGATCAGTCAACCCTATCTGAAAGCATGACCTCAGAGCATGATTCCTCCTATGGCTATAGATCCTCCAATGTTACACACCTCTCTGGGTGGAAGAATGCTGACTGCCTGAGCAGGAAGACAAAGCTGAGGGTTCAGCGATGGAATTCTTAATGGTGTGAGGGCTCTGGGGATTGAATTATCACTGCAAAGGTATCGCTCTGCCTGCATAAAGGAACCTTTATCAGTCTGGATAAGCTCAGCAGCACTGCTCACCTTAGAGAGCTGTATCCTCATCTGGGTTGAAAACAAGGGGGAAGCTGCTGAACAGCTCTTCTGCTGAGAAAAAGGGGGAAGAACAAACGAGAAGGAGCTTTGACAACTTTTGTCTTAGCATCACACTGCATTCCCTCTGGAGGAGGAAGGAGCTTCAAATCCTCAACAAATCATGCTGAGCCATAGTGAGAAAATCCCTCCAGGCTCCCCACTCCATCACACCTGAGCAGAATCTTGTTCTCTGGCTGTTATACAAGCCTCAGGCCATACGTGTTTCTTTTTCCTTCTATCACCAGACCCTCCCAACAAAGGCACTGCCCGACCCTGTGTGCTCAGGTGTGCTGTGAGCCATCCCTCAAAGCTCCAGCTGGGACATTTTGCCACTGAAGATGAGGTGACATGGAAACTGCAGGGTAAAATGCTGACTTCAGCTATGCTGCTGTATATTTTCTGATGTCAGTGGTGTTCCTTAAAGCTCATAGTTGTGGGAGAACAGAAATTATGGTCTGTTGTTTTTTCAGCCCTTGCTCACTATTTATCATGAGAAAGCCATAAAACGTAGAGAGAGGACATGAGAAAGCTGCCTGGGGAGCAGTAACTCTCCAAGCAGAGTCTGGATCTTGACTATTCATATATTTGGAGGCTTCCTGCTTTGGGATAGCGGAGATGGTTTGGTTCCATTTTTGTTGCAATAAGGATACTACCACAGGCACTGGTGATATGAAATGCTGTCTCCAGCCAATTGATGGTAGAAATAATCATCAGAAGCACAGGGCTTGATTCCTGGCTTAGGATCCATCGCACCATGTGCTTGTTTTTTTTCTGTCTGGATACCTAACTGTTGTGATGGGACCAAAGGAATTGGCTTCAAACGAAAAGAGAGGAGATTTAGATTTAGACTGGATATAAGGAAGATTTTTGCAATAAGGGCAGTGAGGCACTGGCACAGGCTGCAGAGAGGTGGTGGTGCCCTGTCCCTGCAGAGAGCCGAGGTCAGGCTGGATGGGCTCTGAGCACCTGATGGAGCTGTGGGTGTCCCTGTTCATTGCAGGTGGGTTGGATCACATGACCTTTAAGAGACCCTTTCAAGTCAAACAATTTCCCAGTCCCAACTCCAAGAATTGAAAGTGGGAGAACGACTGAGAGAGAGAGCTGGAAGTTCAGGCTCTCCAGGTTTACTGCTCCTGGGGCATAAACACATTTGGAGTTGCAGTAACAGTGGAGTGCGGATGCAGGAGCAGCTAAATGTGAGACCTGTCATGTTAATAACCTCCAGCTGAGAGCTGCTCCTGCAGAGCAGAATCCCACACCAAAGGGACACTTAATGATGTCAGAAGGGGCCATTTGCAAAGCTTGCTGCAGCAGCCTCTGGTTTAATAAGCCAGAGCATGGATGTGATTCCACTCCCAAAGAGGCTGTGGGAGGTCAGAGAGGTGGTCTTACTGCTCCAGCACACTGCAGCACAACGGGCAGCAGCAAAGGGAGGGTTTTTGCAAGATCCTGAGCTAAGCTCAGGCTGAAGGACCCTCTTCTTTCTCTACCTCTGATTAATAAGCTTACTGGAGGGACCTACAGCTGAAGTCTGACAAATCCATTTGAAACAAATGCCTTTATGCCTTTTGGAGGAGTTATTTGCAGGAAGATTATGCATTTGCTTTTGCTTTGTTCCTCAGGGCCTTAGGTTTCTGCCCCAAACTGGAAATGGGATGAGCAATGATACAGCATGAGCCAGTGCTCACCTTTAAAGCACTAAGTCAAGCAGACAGAGTTCACAGGACTGTTTTAGTCTTGAAAGATGTTGTAGCAGTTAATTAAGTGGTGTCACAA